TTTGGATCGATCGATTGGGTGTTGATTTGGTTGGTAAACTGAGCCCAGTTCTTGGAAATTGGAAATCATTGTTTAACAAAAGAGCATATATATGTAGCATAAATTCCAGAATAATTTGATATTCCATGTCCCATTTGCATTTCCTAATTAATAGGGGATAGAAGTTGCAAATTTCCAAGTACCACTCCTCCATTGCACAGTGCTATCAGACCTCCTTTGCATTCTCACAGCAAGGAACTCAGCCTATTGTGGTCAAACAGAGAAAACTTCACAAATTTAGGGCAATGGAAAGTGAAAATGCAAGTTCGATTGCAGATTCTGTTGCCTTCTTCTGATTTATTATGTTTTAGTGTTTTTCTTTACAGGAGGAGGAAAGCATAAAAGGAACTGGAAAATAAAAGCTTTGGAGCCAAATATACAGTTAAATTTACGGTCGAGTTTTATTCCTACAATTAACTGTAACAGTAGTTTAGTTCAGAGACGCATGATGACAATGCCTCTTGTAATAGAGCATTTCCCGAGTCCATATGAAGTGAGTCTTCGTACAAGCATTTGGCTTGCTGCGGTAACTTCATCTTCTCTCTACTATTCCTTGGACGCAGTCGAGCTCTGTGCTGCAAAGTTGCACCCCATCTGAAAAGAGCTGCAATACATAATTTCTTAAATCAAAAGGAGATTATTTTTCTTTCTTTTTGGAGATATGAAAGCACCACTACTAATTTTTTGTCCTACTTTAGTGATACCAGACTCCTTTTTACAGTTCATTTCTTGGAGAAGGAAGTGAATGGAGAGGATAAGAGAGACACCAAAGTAAATATTTAGACGAAATAACACCAAAAGGTACTATTTATCTATCTTGTAAAACACATTAGCACAGTTACATATGGTGTAATATTATAGTTTAAACAGGTGTAGTATACCATCAGGTGCATAAACATTGCTATTGCAGCCAAGAACACCTTGTCAGCATCACGAGCAGCACCCTGAAATATACAAGTACAAAGAAAGGTCAAATGTAAAATTCGTGTCAAAACTAAAATAAATATCTTAAAAAAATATAATAAACCAGTAAAATAGCACAAAGTTGTATAAGATTAATAGGTTAATATTTTCATTGATTCATTTTCACATCAAGTCAGATGGTATAATTATCGGTCCAATATCTGCATTCAATTGTGAGCGAAATGAGAGGGCAAGGCCCCAATTATACGAGGCTCTCAAATCATTCCCATCAATTGACAACGCCAATCCGTACTTTCTCCCTGCCTCAACGAGTAGCTCCTCACATTCTTCACACACATCGACAAGAGAAGATGTAAGTTTGCCTTTATCAAGTAGCTGATAATGGGATTTGAACTTTCGGCTGATCCTCAGTTTTAGTTCCCCATGAAGAAGATATGCATTTCCCAATTGCCCGACTGCCAATAAGCTCATTGGTCTCATGTCTATTGCTTTTCCGAGTAATTTGGCGGACTTATACAGTGCATTTCTCTGCAAGACCATCATCAATTATTTTCTGCTTTAAACATTCCTTAGCTTCTTTCATAAAAATATTTGCTTCTCCAATGTACCTATTAAACTTCAGATCACAAGCAAGTATTGAAGACAAAGGAGGAGAACCATTTCCGAGAGTGGGAAATGAGCTTCTCTCATCTTGAAAAGAAGATCCCTGATACTCTCTCTTGCTTTTCTCTGGGTTTTCAGAATATAAAATAATTTTCTTTCATTCTTCTTGATTTGTGTTCATGCCCCAAAGAAACATCAGTTTTTACATGTTTCATACTGATACTAAAATCGATAGAATCGTATAAACTGTCACGAGATGCCCCTGTTTCAATTTCATCTATTCCATCCATTTTCGAATAAACTTATTCCGACAAACCTACTATTTTTCGTTAAAAACTGTTTCAGCTGTATCATCTAATGCAGTCAAATTCATGCTCTCATTCTCAGATGCTATTTTCATTCTTGCCCTATCAGCCGAACTACCAGTGCTATCTCGACTTCTAGCTGTGTTATCGAAAGGGTTAGCCGATAAACCCGCATTCCCATTTAACCCAGATTCCAAATCGCTTCCTTTGATAGACCCAGCTAAGATGTTCTCCTCTCTTTGACCATTGCCCTCTACATCCATTAGTTCTCTCTTGCCAGTCTCTTTCATTTTACTGAATGTTGAATCAACTGACTTCCTTCTAGACAAACCACCAAAAATTTGGGAGAAATTTAGTCGATTGTCGCCCAATTCTTTTCCTCTCGTACATGACTTCTTATTCAAAGCTTCCTCCTTTTCTTGATAATCATCAAATAAATTCTCCATACAATCATCAAAAACTTCTCTTGTATTCAAAAATGATAAATTGACTGATTCAATAGCATGAACATAACCTTTCAGATCACTCACAGTAACTTTATTACACTCCACACTTCTGATATCATTCTTTAAGTTTAGAATCTTCGCATCAAACCCATTAAAAAGTCCACCACAATGGAACTTCTAACAATTTCATCTTTAAGCTTTCTTTTATTCCCATTTAATTTTAACTCATGCGTGCGACCTCCATTGACCAACCCAACAGCAAATACCATAGCACAAGCTGGGAAAACAACAACCGAAGAAACCTTAATTCTAGAAATTGCCTGTGCACAAACAAAACCAAATAGATCCACAATGACATACTTTTTGTCATCAGTTCCAAGGGAATTCAGAAAACTGTGAAAATGATTTGACTCGCAAGAATGCAGTGTCACGACCCATCCCAAGTCACCCTAATAGACCTAACACGTGTCGTGCGTCGATGACAGATACCAACTAAGTGACGGACCTACCACTAAGGCAACTATGACCTGTTCTAACTGTGACACACTTTTATAAAGATTTTGACAGAGTTTCCCCTATAATATGGACCAAAACCACTTGAAAAATAATCAAACTCCTTCAACCAGAACATGTATTTTAAAATAGGGTACACCAGCCCCTCAAAAGAAAATTCTAACTAAAGAACATCAACATTCAACAAAAACATGCTAGCTAAAGAACATAAACAAATACCAAATCTCAGCCACAACTTACTTCTACAATATGCTAGCT